AGATACTTTATGCTTCCCGTCGTCAAACGCTCCAACACCAAGCATACGAGAGGACCACAATCTCCTCTGGCTCCTTCCGTTTGTTGTGGCGCGGTCTCGTCTCTGATAACTGTAATATTGAGCTTCTTTGGCTTCTTGTTTCCAGAACGAGTCCAATAATTTATCGCATCCAAGAATTTAGCCAAATGAGAGCTCCATCCCTTAATAATATCTCTTAAATCAGCCAATTATATATAATTTATCATGTTGTCATATACTATTGTCTTAAGGGATGGGAGTTGAAGCTCGACGAGAATCCAATGTTTACGTTCCAAAACAGGGATAAACACCTGCAATCATAAGTAATAATTCATTCATTTGCGCACTTATTTATGAATACCTTTAAACTCAATCTAAAATAAATACTAACCTTATCGACCTCCCACCATGCAGGATAAAGTTTAGCTTGTCCATTGCCCAACGCAAATGATTCATCTCGTTGATTCTTCAAGTGAACGACGTTAAAAGACGTCGGCATAATTGTATATCGTATATTTCTTTTATTTTTCTTAAGTTTCCTTATTATTATAAGACGTGCCACCCACGCATCGATATGCTGTTTTACAAAAAAAAACATATATTAGTGACTTACATAAATTTAAAAAAAATTAATCAAATTGAAATATAAGAAAAATATAAGACTTACCCCCCCATCGAAATAGCCATTGTCTTCGACCCCTAATAATACGCCCCACCAAGACCGTTCAAGCAACAAATAGATATCATCGGTGAGCTTGCATATGTCAGTGAAACACCCCTGGCTCCGCTCATGTAGATAAAAATCAACTGCGGTCTTAGCCCAAAGGGTGTTATCCAGAATTGTGTCCGGTAGTTGTCTCCTCTCCACTTCAGATACCGGAATGGTACTGGCCGGTAACTTATACGAGAGCCAACTATCATCCATCATGTCCGGCACGTCAGAGGGTTTCTCAAGAAGCCTACATATGACGCCATGTGAATCGGGCTCTTGAATGGTGGGAGGGACCTCTTCAATGATGACAGTGGCCTCTTGAACGGTGGGAGGGGACTCTCGAGGAATGATAGGGGCCTCTTCAACGATAGAAGTGGACTCTTGAGGGATGAAAGGCGAGTCAGGCTTCTTCTTGCGGCGTCTTAGCACTATTGGGGTGTACGAAGACTTAATAGCACGTGCACGCCGTCTGATGCGTGAACTCCGTCGTGCAAGCAAAACCTGACGTAAAGCATCCACTCTATCGGGCCGCTAAATAATTAAATACAAAATTCAGTAAATAAACAGACATGATATTTAAACAGTGAAAACAAAGACAAATATGTTTCAAACTTGCATTGTATTCACCCAAGTCATTATTCTATCATAGTTCACAAAATGCATCAGATAACAAAAACAAATATGTTTCAAACTTGCAACACTGTCAAGTTAGTATTTGTCTTTGTCTATTGGTTGAAGTAATGCAATCCATTCAAGTTTCAATTTGCAGAAGAAGAAATAGTTTACTTTCGTAACACGAAACTTAAAATCGCAACGCGAAATGAAAATCGCAACGAGAGAATCGCAACGCGAAACCAAAATCGCAACGCGAAATGAAAATCGCTACGAGAGAATCGCAATGTGAAATGAAAATCGCAACGAGAGAATCACAATGCGAAATGAAAATCGCAATGCGATTTTGGTTTCGCGTTGCGATTTTGTCGTTGCGATTTTCATTTCTCGTTGCGATTCTCTCGTTGCGATTTTCATTTCGCGTTGCGATTTTAAGTTTCGTGTTGCGAAAGTAAACTATTTCTTCTTCTACAAATTGAAACTTGAATGGATTGCATTACTTCAACCAATAGACAAAACAAAGACAAATACTAACTTCAGGGTATTAGTTTAGCAGAATTGGCAGCAACCGAACAAATTTACTTTCAACCAAAAGACAAAACAAAGACAAATACTATTTCACAGTGTTAAAGAATACACAGTTAGCAGAATTGGCAGCAACCGAATAAATTTACTTCAACCAAAAGACAAAACAAAAGACAAATACTAACTTCATAGTGTTAAAGAATAAACAGTTTAGCAGTATTGGCAGCAACCGAATAAATTTACTAAGCAATCTAAGTGAAATGGTTAATCTAAGTGAAATTACGAGTAAATTTATCATCAAGTTAAATATGGAAAATCTTAAACTTACCTCGTTGCGTAGAGTATGAACCTCATTCTGCAACGATACTATCATCTCACGTAGAGCGGCAACCTCACCACGTAAAATAGACACCTCCACACGCCATGCACCATCGTTATCGCGTAGAGTACCGATCTCCTCACGCAAGGCATTGACCTCATCACGTAACTCCCTTGACTCATCCCGTGGAGGTGGAGAATAGGGAGATAGGAGTCGTGGCATCTTTGCCGGTCGCCTATCATGAGGTGATGGTGGAGAAGAGGCTCGATGATGTGACGGGATAGGTGATGGCTCTCGTTCTAGAGGTGTATAGTCGGGTCGATCAGGTGATGGCTCTGGGTGAGGTGATGGCTCTCGAAGTGGAGGAAGTGGATGCTGCTCATCATCCGTGCCATCAAAAAAACTCTGACTAGCTTGCCACCAATCAATGGCAAGCTCATCCTCCGTGGGTGTCAGTCTTTGTAATGGAATGTTGGCCTCCTAACAATATAAAAACTCAAACAAAGTTAAACGTCTACTATTAATAACTTGTTTATATATGAAAGTATTTGTGTTAACTTACATTATTTATTGTCGCATATGGTATTAAGTCTTCCCAATCCAACAGACTTTTCCTCTTCCAGGAAATAGCCCTGGGAATATCATTTGACGTTTTTATTGCATATGTCTGCATGCTGGGAAAAACCTCGAATATCCAAATATACAAACAATATAATAACAAACATTAGTAATTGTTAAATAATTAATTATAATTTTGGAAATATTATATAGAAATTCTTACCTTAAAGGCCCAAACAAAGCCTGACAAAGTGTATTTCGACCCATCGCCACGCAAACTTTTGCGGTCATTAAAGGCAGACGACAACTTAGTCCAGGTAGCTTTCCATATATACGAACCCCACGGAAACAGATTCCATGCATTCAGGTCCTCTACCAATAATATTAGCTCCTGAGGAATAGGTTATCTGGCCTCTCTGCCTAAAAAGCCGGCATACAAAAGTACTAGAAGGCATACTCGGACAACATCGACGTCATCCATCCGAGTGAAACCATCTTTCTTATTAAACAATTTCTTCAGGTCGTCGACGTGTAGGTTCGGCTTCTCCATTGACTCATCAGGAAAAACCCGGGATAACCATGATGGGCGGGCGATATGATGAGTGTACCGGCCTACATCATCATGTCCGAATCGTAGACCAGTGATTAAGCAGAACTCCTTCCGCCCAAAACAAGTATACGCTGGTGGAAAATGAAACCATATCTCTTCCTCACCACGTTGTATACTGTCGGGTAGATTTGATGTCATGGTCTGAAGCCACAAATGGGTCAAGTTAGCATCTCCACCCGGATGCTGTACTCTCAGCCATGGCCCGAAGTAGGTTTCCTCAAACAATTGTCTTTGTGCAGGTGAAAGCTTCGAAGCAATTGTAGTGGCTATGCTAACTTTATTCCTTAATGTCAATGAAGCCGAAAAAAATTTCTACAAAAATAATAAACATACCAAGTTAGATATACCAAAAAACTACACTGTGAAGATATACCAAAAACAATAAACATAAAGAGTAGTAGTTTATTCTTGAAACTAAAATTTGCAACACTGTTTTGTCTTTTGGTTGAAAAGAAAATCGCAACGAGAGAATGACTATCGCAACGCGGAAATGAAAATCGCAACGAGAGAATCGCAACGCGAAATGAAAATCGCAACGCGAAATGAAAATCGCAATGCGATTTTGGTTTCGCGTTGCGATAGTCATTTTCGTGTTGCGATTTTCATTTCTCTCGTTGCGATAGTCATTTTCGTGTTGCGATTTTCATTTCTCTCGTTGCGATAGTCATTTTCGCGTTGCGATTTTCATTTCTCTCGTTGCGATTCTTTTGCAAATTGAAACTTGAATGGATTGCATTACTTCAACCAAAAGACAAAACAAAGACAAATACTAACTTGAAAATCGCAACGAGAGAATCGCAACGCGAAATTAAAATCGCAATGCGATTTTGGTTTCTCGTTGCACAGGGTTAAAGACTAAACAGTTTAGCAGTATATCTATTATTGAAATTACCAGTAAACTTATCATCAGTTTCAATATGAAAAACCTAAAATAATGCAAAAATTTCAAAATAAAAATAATTAAAAAAACTAACCCTCGGAGGTTGATTTTCCATTTCTGAATGATTGTGAGGGATTTCTGACCGTGAATGGTTGTGAGGGATTTCGCCGGAAATGGGGATGGAAATCTTCGGAGATGGGGACGAATTTCGCCGTAGAGAGTGAGAGATGGAGATGGGACTGAGTTGTGATTTTAGGTTTTAGGTTATGAGTTGCGATTACGGGATTTTCTCTTAATATTCGTGTTTGGAATTTGAAAATAAAATACGCGTAGCGATTCTAATGGCGCTTTAAAAATCGCGTTGCGATTTACGGATACGCGTTGCGATTTTACGTATTGTCATTGCGATTTACGGATACGCGTTGTGATTTTTACGGATACTCGTTGCGATAGTAAGAATCGCGTTGCGATTTATATGTTCGCGTTGCGATTTTCATATTCGCGTTGCGATTCTGGAAACTGATTTGCGATTCTGGGGATCGCGTTGCGATTTTTATTTCGCATTGCGATTTTGTTGGTCATTTTGACAAATCCAAAAAAAGTTGATTAAAATCGTATATTATAAGGCATTTTTGATCACTGAAGCGATTTTCTCTCAAATTTATTCATACCAAAAGATTACATCTTTTCCTGCCTGAAATTTTAGGAATCAATAGAAACGCAATTAGTGAAGTAATTCAGTGATAAGCAAACAGCCTTCCCTCTACACCAATAAACTCAACCCTAGTTTAAGTTATTTTGTTCTAGTTGGAAAAATCACTGGGTTCTCCCGTTATTCTAATTCCCTTCGCTCACTGGGCGCCATCCCTTCCTTCAACCACCACCATCCTCTGCAATGTCAGACCGACGCGAGAGGGACCGAGACCGAGACCGAGACCGTGACCGCGATAGAGAACGCAGACGAGACCGAGATATTCGCGATCGAGACCGGGACCGAGACAGAGAGCGAGTCAGGGAACGGACGCGCAGCAAGAGATCTCGAACACCAGAGCGGACCCGATCTCGTCACACACGCTCTTCTACGCGTTCCCCTGACCGTGAACGCCGTTCACATTCCCGTTCTCATACGCGCTCCCCGGAACGCGCTTCCCACCGTCATCCCCGGCACCGAACACCATCGAACGAGCCCCCTAGGAAACGTCACCGCCACGAAAGCGAGGAAAGGGAGAAGGATAGGCAAAAGGCCGTGTCGGATTTTGTGGACGATACAGCTAGAGAGAAGCAGCAAAAGAAAGGAACCATTAATAATGAGAATGAGAATGGGGATGTGGATGCAGGAGAGGAGAATGAGATGGAGATGATGAAGAAGTTAGGGATTCCAGTTGGTTTTGATTCCACCAAAGGGAAACATGTACCTGGAGCTGATATCAGTGGAGTTAGGGCTGTGACTAAGCGGCAGCCCAGGCAGTATATGAATCGAAGAGGCGGGTTTAATCGTCCGTTGCCTGCCGAGCGCAACCGCTAGAATGGATTAGTGGATGAAAGCATTTTCAAGGTTAGGGTTTTTGCTATTGTGAATGCTAATTTGGGTTTCATAATTTCCCTTTTCCTGGGTTTTATTGCTTTCATGTTGTTCGCTTGTGGGTTTATTGAGCTCGGAATTGTTTGACTTATATTGTTCGATTTATAATTCATACTAGTCTTACTATATGTAATAATAATGTTGAAACTAACTAGCCCTAAGTTACTGTGAAACCTAAGTTGTTTCTCTACTGGTTTAGAATTCCTCTTTGTTTTAGAATAATTTAGGATTTAGAAGCTCAGAAACCCTACTACAACTTTGTGTATTTGGGTATATAGTATTTTTTTTTTAAAATTGACTATCCCAAGTTGCTCTTGCTTACCGGGTAGTCGTCTTCCTAGAACTGGGATTGGTCATCCATTTTGAGTGCTTATGGCATGAAAAACAAGGCCTATTTGGTACCAGAGACCTCAAACAACATTCCTCTTTGAAGATTTTAAAGCTTGACAAGTTAGCTCGAACGTTTAAGCAATGGATGTGCTTGATTTCTTTGATGCACCATGGTAAGGTATACCTTTTAAGATATAATAAAGGCAAGATTATTTGGAACCTAGTTTCCTTAGTGTAGGATGCGGACTCCCTCGCCAGTAGCTGTCTTTGTAGCCTATTTCTATTTTAATTCAATTTCCTTTTTTTTCAAGAACTTAGACCGGAAGTTGCCTTAAATCCTGTAGCCCAAGTAATCTAGAATATCCTAATTCCTTTATAATAATAAAAGGGATACCATAGCACAATATATATAACGACAATACAAAATAAAATACCTTGTTCCTTCCTGAATAGTCATTGTCTCTACGAGCTTATAGATGGCTTATTGGTATGTTGGGCTTAGCCTGGTGTTTCAGTCTTCAAATTTTCAACAACCATGTTGGAAATGAGCTCAATATATTATTCTAGCAGAAGCTTGCAATGAAGGAACAAGAAAAAATGAAAAATTGACAAGTCAAATAATATACATTACTTATACACCATGTTTCTTGGGCTTTCTTTTAACTTGAGTTTAGCAATGATAAATATGCATTAGGGATCAAAATCTAAGATTGCTTTCCATTTCCCAAATTTAATGGGAAGAATTTCCCCAAATGTAATCATGCTTGTCTTTGAGCATCAACCTAAAATTTCCCTTTTTACGTTAACACCATTGAATAGTACAGAAGGAGAACGTACTCGCAAAATATTAGCCTTCTAACTTTGTGGGTTCTCAAATTGCTTACACCTATTGATTGTTTTCTTTTTATGTTCAAGGTATATATACTGTTATTTATCATATTGAATGCATATGAAGTAGTTTTGATTTATCGTATTTTTTAAGGTACTCATGTTGGACATATCTCTGATGTCTCAAATTGGGTGAGATTCCCACTTCTGCGTTTGAGCAAAACAGCTCATGAATCCATTTTCAGTCTAAGCTAACAACCAATCACATGGATAAATATCATCTTGAATGTTTCTTGTAGGAAAAAGTATCATCTTGAATGCTCTATATAAGTTTGAGTAACATGGACTTCCTTTCTAGTTCACTCCGAGGGATTAACAAACTTAAGATTTTATTTTGTTACTTTGTTATATATATATATATATATATATATGGAGATGAATTGTAAATTCTATAGATTTAGATTTTAGAGTTATTTCTGGTATTTTACATTTATAGTAGGGTCTAGGTTCATACTTTGGTTCTCTTCCTATTTGGTCTTGTTTCCTATTTGTAGTGTAAAATTTTATTGTAGTCCTATGTGGACTAAGAGTCTGTATAAACCAATATACTCTCTCTATTAGGAGATATTTTTTTACCTGATAATTTCTAGTGTTGCACATTGTGGTTGTGTGATCCAATCAACTCTTAAGTGACTCACGTGGAACCTTTGGTTCTATTTCATCTTATTGTCTAATGCAAACAGAGTCCTAGATGTGAAGCTTAGGGATGTTCCCTCATATTCTCTTTTATTTGTTCAATTTTCTTTGCCGAGGGATTTGAAATAAATGATCTTATTAATTACTACTAATCTAACGCTTAATAAATGAGAATGTTCATCACTAGTTAGTTTGAATGTCTTAAAATACTACTTAATAAATTAAAATTACAAGCAATCTTATCAAATATAAAATTACTATGATGTAATGCAAAGGAATATGATTACATGATAGTGCGTGTCTACTTTCAAATATGTAACCATTTTTACAAGCAATCTTATCAAATATAAAATTACTATGATGTAATGCAAAGGAATATGATTAAATGATAGTGCGTGTCTACTTTCAAATATGTAACCATTTTTACAAGCAACCTTATCAAATATGATCACGTACACATTAGTCAAAGATGGCTCGACTCGAATTTAACTTTGAACTTTTGGGTTGAATTCTAACTCCTTTGTAGGCATATGCAACCATTTTTACCCAACCATCTGTATTATATAATGAATCAAAAAAAATATATATATATATATATATATACACACACACATATTATGTGATTATGTGAATAGAGGTACTTTAAATAAGACAACGTAGATCTCTCTCATTTACTAAAATAAAGAAAATGACTCAAAGGTCCTTTAATTTAACAAAAGAACCTGTGTTGGTCCTGTCAGCTCCTATGGTATGACCGTCGTTTCAGCCTCACTTGTTCATCATATTCCTTCTTCTGTTAATTCCAATTTTATGCCTTTGAAAAGTTTCTTTATCCACAGTTTTCTTGTGTATGTGAGTTGCTGAGCTCATTCCATGCCAAAAATTGTTATCTGGAACACTGAGAGGCTTGGCTTTGCAGTTTGATAGGAGAGACTGATGATTGTTCAATATTCCAGTTACCATATCCAGAAGATGAGTTCTCATCACCATTATCGTTACTTACGACCGGTGATGCAAATGGGAGCAAATTAGATTAACAGTTACCATATCCAGAAGATGAGTTCTCATCACCATTGTCGTTACTTACGACAACCAGTGATGCAAATGGGAGCAAATTAGTACTAACAGTGTCCTCTTGTTGCTGCTGCTGCTCCACATTACCATCACCATTGAGTAACCCCGTAGAATCTCCTCCATAAATTGAATTGTATCCACTACGACTGGCGAAACTGGATCTATCGTTTGATGTCTGATGAAGCATACAAGAGTTCTTGGCGGTGCTCAAGGAATTAGCACTGTTACTGAATCTGAGAACATTGGACCAGTAATTGGATTGGTCTTGCTTGATGGGAAATGCAATGCCTGATGTTGATACTGAAGAGTGATTTCGGTCCTCGTAGGTGCTCTTACTATCGGAAGCTGAATCAGAGCAGTTTATGGATTTGTTGCTTAGTCCTCCGATGGGAAGATTGCTGTTCGCAATGTTTTTTACGTCATAGTGACTCATGTCAAGATTCGTAACCTCGTTTAGACCTCTAAACTTGATTGCTGCAATATCGTAGGCTTCGGCTGCTTCTTCTTGGGTGCCTGCAGAACAAATATGTTCCGTTTTGCAGATTTTTTTCGTTTTAGAAAAAAAGAAACAAAAAAGAAGAAAGAACTCACTAAATGTGCCGAGATAGAGATCTTTGTTGCCTGCAACTCTTCCAATTCGTGCTTGACATCTACCATGTTGATAATGCCTGAGATATAAAGTTAAAAAGGCTAAATTGGGGCATAGCACCGATATAATCGAGATCCTATTCCTATATAATTAACAAACCAAAACGCTAAAACACAATGCGCACACACACCGAACCTTGTGACACCTCTGTAAATCGAAGCACCCTTAGAAAATCCACTACTTTTCCTGAAACACAGAATTGATCAAGAAGAAAGTGTAATCAAGCAACGAACTCTTGCCTAGTCATGCTCTTCATCTCTGCTAGTTCCTTCTCATAGTTAGAAATCTAACAATGAGAGATTTTAATACAAATATACGATGGAAAAGAAACAAAACAAAATGCAAAGCCAGAATCCGATAAACGGTGCGTACCGGAAAGTTTGTAATCGTGGTTGGACCCCAGTACTTGAGAGCCGCAAGATCATAAGCTCTCGTTGTTCTATCTTCCTTGTCATAGCCACCTAATTCGAAGAAGAAAAACGAAAACAGACGTTAAAATCTTCACAATAAGCTGAAGTCGACAATGATCAACACTATTGCAACCAGAAGTAATTATTGATGATGATCAAGAAGAATAGAAACTCACCTAAATACACCGGAAAGCCAATGATAGAATTTGAGCATCCATGGAAGTAATCATTCATGTACATGTCAAATCAAGAACCACCAAAAGCATATTTGTAACCCCCAGACCGATGTGGGTAACTGGATCCAATCCGGGAAGTCACATTAGGGCCACCGGAATGACCCGCTGTAAAAATGGTAGAAATTTTAAAACTTTTATTAAAACATGTAACTTATAAAATGATTTATCAGTATGCAGAAATAAAACAGATTTTCAAACTCGTATATAAAACAAAATACAATTACATGCCCCCTAATCAAATGTATCGTACTCTGCAAACAGCACCGGAAGAGCTCCCTTACTGAATTCGATAGCTGCAGTGGTACAATTCTTTTAACCTGCAATGGTGAGTAATAGAGTGAGCTTTGGAAAGCTCAGTAATACAGAACTACCAGATGATGCTGAAGAACATGCAGATACAATTAAACATATATTTCCTTATTGGTTTAGATATCTATAGATTTCTTTGGCTGAGCTGAGGTCCCATTGATATTTCAGGTATTAACAGATAGTATTCAATTCTGATGGAAAATATTTGGGATGTTTAGATTCAGGAGATCAGAATAGAATTTCTAGTGTGTTCCCGTAAAACCAGTAAAAAGATACAGATCTTTTAAAACATATATATGTATATATATACCCCCATCCTTTCACAATCTGTTTGTGTAGGTTCCCCAGAACCATACACCCAACCCACACAACCTGTAAGGCCCTGAGCACAAAACCAAGGAACCTGCAGAAATACTTCCTTCAATAATACCCCCCAATTAAAACATTTTCCGTCCGTAAACGGAGATATCAGAAATCAAAACAGAATTCAGAACATATATCATAACAGAATCCAGATCAGAAATCATAACAGAATTCAGGTAATGTATCAGAACAGAATTCAAGTCAGAAATCAGATAAAATATTTATATGATTAGGGAACACACCATAGTTTACAGATATTATTCAGAGGTACTGGATAATCTTAGCAGACAAAAACACGGATCTTCAGTATACCGATAAAATGTCAGAATTTAGAATCACTATTGAAAAAGTTCAATAACTGACGGAATCATCAGTTATTCAGAATGAGACTTGAGCTGATAAGGAAGAATTGAAGGTTCAGGACATTTACAATCTATGTCGATTGATCGGATTATCGAACGACTCTTAGATGAATAGTTCCCAGAACTAATACTTATCGACTG